TGTCACATCGAGGGGTAAAAAGTATAACTATTGCACTGTGTTGTACAACTGAAACTAATTCTAAAAAATGTGTATTTCACAATAAAAAATAATTCAAAAAAAAAGAAACTTGCTGAAGGTCATATAAATAGTAAAAACAAACAAACAAACAAAAAACAGTGCCAAGAAATGAACCTGTACTTCTTTGGCTCCAAATCCTATGTTCTTCCTCCTCTCCCCCACCCCCATTCTCATTGGAACCAGGAAGTTGAAGAGACAGAATTCTGGTTTTCAGCAGATTTATTCCCTAGCAAGTTGCATTCAGAGAAGCTTGCCCCTATACACATGTACTGTACAGATAGCAGATTTAATTATCTTCTTCTTAATGATATCTTACATCTACCCATGTCCAACAGGGCCAGGATGTCATTATCTTGGTAGGATGCCATTATCCTTTGTTTCTTTTCTTTTTTTTATTAGGGAACAGTGTGTTTTTCCAGGATCTGTCAGCTCCAAGTCAAGTAGTTGTTTCAATCTAGTTGTGGAGGGTGCATCTCAGTGGCCCATGTGGGAATCGAACCAGCAACCTCAGTGTTATGAGCACTGCACTCTAACCACCTAAGCTAACTGGCCACCCCTATCCTTTGTTTCTTCACACAGATTTGTCTTCAGAAGAACATATGACAACACATGCAAACCATTTTATTCCCTCTCATTCTCTCCTTCCTGCTTGATCAACATCAGTACAGTTGTTAGTCTCCTGTTACCTGCTCACCATCTGCATTGCAATCAGCAAGCATTTGTCATTGGGCCCTACAAGTGACATAGTGACTTGCTGGGCTCACTTTTACTTTCCTGTGACAGGCGTCCACCTGCCCTTGGGCCCAGGGTTATTCACAACATGCCCCAGAAACTCCTGGACCTGCTCAGTGGCCCTGGAAGACAGCCTTTACTCTTCCCCTTTTCCCAGGCAGCATGGCCTATGCCCAGTGACTTCCTCATCCAGGCGACTTCCATAACCAGAAAGGTCATTTCCTGTCCATCACTCAGGGCACCTCAGAATTCCAGAGCAGATGAGAAGGCCACCACTACCTTCACTCTCTGATGCCCAGTAATCTCAGGGAAAATGGAATCCTCCAGTCATGGGTCAAATCACCAATAGGTCTCTGTGTCATGGCTCTGTTATCCTCCCCCAGCACTGGCCTCTTGAGCCTCTTGGGTGAAGGGCAAGCTGACAGGTGATTACAGGATGGGACTATCAGCCTCAGTTCTCCCACTGCAGCCCCAGATGCCCTGGGCACTCAGGTGCTTGGATCCTCTTCTGAGAAGGGCAGCACCAACAGGGAGTTGGCTGCAGTGGCAGCTGTGTTTTGTGCATGACTCAAAACAAGAGGTTGTTAAGCACCTACCATTCGTGCTGGACTCTGTGCTGGGAAACAGATGAGTAAAACAATGCCTGCCTTCAAGGAGCTTGAACCCCAGTGTCAAGGACCAGGGGGAGAGTGGTCACAGTGCATAAACTCTGTGGTCTCTGTGCTCCCATTTCATCTATAAAATGGGGTGATAATGACATACACCAAATTGAGTTATTGCAGGATTAAATGAATACATGTTAAGTACTTAAAGCCAATTTAAGTAGACTCCATGAGAGCATTTGATAGCATTATTGTTTCGCTGATGTCAGAAAAGGACAAACACAGTGTATGACAGAGTCAGCCTCTCAGTGCCCACTGGCACTGCCCAGTTGAGATCCCCAGTGAGGAGAAGTAAAGGAGGGCCCCCATAGGAGCCAGATCACAGCTAGGACAGGAAGGGACCAGTCATGCTGGGCGGTAAAGATGCTACCATTTCCTGAGAGGGGAGTGACAGTGTCTGCCTTGCTCACTGCATGCCCCAGGGACCAGAGCAGTGCCCAGGGGGGTGTGAGCTCCTTGAGGGTGGACACTCAGTGAGCATATATCTGCTGCAGGTTCTGCAACTTAGCTGGAGTGAAGAGGCTGCAGGGACCAGAGAAAGTGGGTGGGCCACTCCAGTGGTGGCAGCAGCTTGGGGAGCAGGTTTTTGGGAGCACCTCCTGATTCTCTTCAACCTCTGCCTGGGACACCTGTCTCCATGAGTGAGCTGAGGGGTAGCATCTCTCCCAGGCCGTCTCCCACATGCTCCTTAATTAAAGAGCTTCCAGGCTGTTTAATTCAGGAGGACCCTGTCCTATTCTTGGTATCATAGAAGACTTGGAATTTTAGACAGGTGACAGAATGGGAACATTGGTAAATGACTGGCAAGCACCTATTCCCCATTCTCTGTGACTCCTCAGCATGCTGACATTCTGTTTCTAAAGAATGTGACAGCTGCTCAGACCTGTGAGCTGAGCTCCCCACAGCCTCTGCTAAGTAAAGCATTTATTTGCTCAGTAGATCAGGCTAAAATCTATAATTAATTCACTCTTCGGTCTAATGCTCATAAGAGAAAACGGAAAGCAGTAAAGCATGGTAGTTGAAAAACACAGGCTTTTGATTTGGCTCATTCCTAGATTACAGGTTGTATGACCTTGGGCAAGCGTAGCCACTCTGAACCTCAGCCTCCTCATCTGTAAATGGGTACAGTATTATTATACCACCAGGTGTGTAGGGCTGAGGGGACTAAATACATGCCCAATACATGGAAGCTGTTCTTATTGTCAGTATTATTGTTAAAACCATGCAAAGAGGAAAAGAAATAGATTTATAAATTACCCTGCAATAGGATCAGGATCATTTGGAGCTAAGAACTCACGTACATCAAGACTTTTTCTGTAAACTGCTAGCCATGGTTGATTTTTGTTGTTTTTTGTTTTTTAAGATTTTATTGGGAATTGGGGGAGGGGAAGAGACAAGTTGCTGTCCTTTTGTTCTTCAGTCCAGTTGTGGAGGACGTCGCTTCACTGGCCCATGTTGGTATTATCATTGCGCTCTTACCGGGTGAGGCAGTCTCTTGCAGGCCATTGGACAGCCACTTACAGCAGCTCATGGCAGCTCACAAAAGCTCATGCCCGCTGCTGGCCAGCCCCACTGCAGCCTACACTGTCGCCGGCAACTTGCAGCAGCCCAGCTCCAGATTGAGTTTTTGTTCACCATCTTAGCTGTAGAGGGCACAGCGTCACTGGCCCTCATATGTGGGATCCGAACCCAGACCCTGCTGCTCAGAGCCAATGCCTAACTAACGCGGCTGGCCCTAGCCGTGGGTTTTAATTGCATTGTTACAATGGGATGAAATAACAAAGACCCTATTCTAGGACTACCAATAAATACTTTTACCAAAGGGGAGAATGTACATGAAACAAGGCTTCCTCTTGAACAGCATTTAATAATTGGCTCCAGAGGGCCAGCAGAGTGGCTCAGTTTGTTAAGGGCTCACTCAAGAGTGCGAGCTCTGAGCAACAGGGTCGCTGGTTCAATTCCCAGCCAAGCTGAGCTGCCGCTGAACTGCCAACAGGTGGCAGGATGGCTGAGCTAAAAAAAAAAAAGTAATAATTGGCTCCAGAAAAAATGATTCGTTCAGTTGAATATGGTTAAGAGAGAGTATAATACATCCTGCATAGCTGTTGGCTATTCTCAGGAGTTCATTTAACTAGAAATAGCGTTTGCATGTCTTAGTCAAAATATGTCCCCTCGTTGATTTTAAAACAGTAAATAGCCATAAAAAAGAATGAAATCTTGCCATTTGTGACAACATGGATGGACCTTGAGGGCATTATGCTAAATGAAATAAATCAGAGAAAGACAACTGTATGATCTCATTTATATGTGGAATTTAAAAACAGCAAGAACAACAACAAAAACCTAAGCTCATAGATACAGAGAACAGATTGGTGGTTGCCAGAAGGATAGGGTGAGGGGTGGGGGAGCATATAAACTTCTAGTTATAAAATGAATTAGTCATGGGAATGTAATGTACAGCATGGGGACTATAGTTAATAATATGGTACTGAATATTTGAAAGTTGCTAAGAAAGTGAATCTTAAAAGTCCTCATCACAAGAAAAAAAATTGTAACCATGTAAGGTGATGGATGTTAACTAGATTTATTGTAGTGATCATTATGCAATATATACAAATATGGAAGCATTATATTGTTTACCTGAAATAATACAATGTTGCATGTCAATTATACCTCAATTTTTAAAAAGTAACGCAGTGTCACAAAGAGTGGAACAGCAAAACCTTTTCAAAGCTTTTAATAAATTTAACCTTTATATTAAAAGGCAGTTTAAAGTAAGTAAGTGGAGCTGAGGACTTATCAAAGCTTCTAGAGTTCATACCTTGAGAATATTTACATGTAACTTATGACACTAACAATTGGTACGTGGAACCAAAATTAAAAAATATATATTTTTTAAAAAACAGTGAATAATTCTAGTGAATTTAGAACCTCATTTCTGAGTATTTAGGGAAATTTTAATTGAAGAAGTTGAGAATAAACTTTAGCAAACTACGGGAAAGACAATGTGCAAACAATAGAAAGATGGCCAGAATAACGCATTCTCTATCCTCGAGGAGTTGACAATGTAGAAAGATGGCCATATATACGACTGACTTCATCGTAGGGCAGAACATGCTATCTTACTTTCCTGTACTTGCTCCAATCCCTCCTGCCCCCATGCCTAGCATAGCGCCCAGCAAATTCACAGGCATACAATAGCTGTTTGTGGAAAAAAACAAGCATTATGATAGAGATAGAAATAAAGTGCTTTGAGAGGGCAACCGGAATCAAGAAGTGGTGGAAAGACTGGACTTCCAAGGATCGTAACGTATAAATGGGTAAAGCTGGCCTTGGACTTACCCCGTCATAATATTTAATTACTCGCTTATGGTATCTTCCCCCATGAGGCTCCAAGCTCCCCAAGGGCAGACACCATGTCTGTCTCGTTTATTAGTGTCCAGCATGGTACATGGTGCATAGTAGATACTCAATAAGTATTTGTCAGGTGAAGGAGAGTCATCAGATATATTTGTCAAGGCTTTGTTTTTTGTTTGGTTTTGGTTTTTTGGGGTTTTGCAGCTCAGCTCAACCATGCTCAAACAAAATAAGGGAATTTTTTGGTTTATGTTTATGAAATCTTCACAGGGCTTCAGGTATGGCTGGATGTAGGAATCTGACCCATGTCCTTAGAAATCCATCTTCATCTTTTTAGGGGGTTGACTTCATTCTCAGGCAGGCTTTCCTGATATCATGGCAAAGACAGCTGTCAGTAGCTCCAGGGCCATATCTTTACAGTTTATGATTCCAATGAAAGGTTCTGTCTCTTTTCCAGAAGTTTCAGAAAAAGGCTCAAGGAGGGCTCTGGTTGGCCTGGCTTGGGTCACATACCCGTCTCTGAACAAATCACCGAGGCCAGGCCTGAAGGCAGGGGTGGAGCAGCGCCATGTAATCTGTATACATTAAGATGGAGAAAGGATAATTCAATCAAGAGATGTTGGACAGCCAAAGCAAAACAAATAAACAAACAAAATCCCCTGTGCCTTTACAACACAAGGAAATTGAATAACACCATAGAGATAGGAACAGATAGAGAAGAGAAAATACAATATGTAGTAGGATTGGAATGTCAGACAGATGAGTGGTGGGCAACACTGAAAATTAATGCTGGAGATGTAA